TTTCGAGGCTGCTGGTGGGTCCTGCGGGGTGAGGCACCGCGCGGACCTGAGCGGGACCTCGCCGTCCCTGGGGGGCTGCGATCTGCGAAACTGTCGCCACTTTCGAGGGAAGACCTGGGGGGCTGCGATCTGCGAAATTGTCGCCACTTTCGAGGGCTGCTGGTGGGTCCTGCGGAGTGAGGCACCGCGCGGACCTGAGCGGGAACTCGCCGTCCCTGGGGGGCTGCGATCTGCGAAATTGTCGCCACGTTCGAGGGCTGCTGGTGGGTCCTGCGCGGTGAGGCACCGCGCGGACCTGAGCGGGACCTCGCCGTCCCTGGGGGGCTGCGATCTGCGAAACCGTCGCCACTTTCGAGTGCTGCTGGTGGGTCCTGCGGAGTGAGGCACCGCGCGGACCTGAGCGGGACCTCGCCGTCCTTGGGGGGGGGGGCTGCGATATGCGAAATGTCGTAATTTTCGAGGGCTGCTGGTGGTTCGTGCGGAATGAGGCACCGCGCGGGCCTGAGCGGGACCTCGCCGTCCCTGGGGGGCTACGACCTGCGAAATTGTCGCCACTTTCGAGGGCTGCTGGTGGGTCCTGCGGAGTGAGGCACCGCGCGGATCTGAGCGGGACCTCGCCGTCCCTGGGGGGCTGCGATCTGCGAAATTGTCGCCACGTTCGAGGGCTGCTGGTGGGTCCAGCGGAGCGAGGCACCAGGCAGATCTGAGCGGGACATCGCAATCCCTGGGGGGCTGCGAGCCTCACGAATGCCGCTTGCAGAAGTATATGCGCCCATGTCACGTCATCACCTCCGTATAACATCTCCCAAGCTACTCATGCCCCGCATTGCGCAGGGGTTGGGTACGTCGCCAGGGTAATTTTGTTTTGCAATCCTTTTCCTCCGTGTTTCGCAGCGCCCCCGCTCCATCCACATTTCCCTTCGGCGCCGACGGCCCCCGCCTTAGGTTCGTTCCCCTTTGCCGCATTTCTCGGTCGCCACGTTTCAATTTCCGTCGCCATGTTTCACATGGGTGTTCCCGTGTCCGCAGCGGCCCGACAAGCGCTCCGTGCGAGCCGGCGCGAGCGGGGCGCCTCCGGAGGGGCCCGACAAGCATTCCGTGCGAGCTGGCACGAGATTTTCTACGGTTTGGGTCGATCGTTGCCGATTCGGGCACATCTGGCAAATTTTGGCCGACCCGGCAAAATGTCAGCGGCTCCACAAAAACGGCTCCCAATACACATTTTCTTTATTATTTAATCTGGTTTGGGGACAGGCGCTCCGCGCGAGCCGGCGCGAGCGGGGCGCCTCCGGAGGGGCCCGACATGCATTCCGTGCGAGCTGAGATTTTCGACGGTTTGGGTAGATTTTGGCCGATGGATGCGAGGGGCTGACCCGCCGAGTCCGTCGCCTTGACTGGGCTCGCCGCAGACGCCGCCCCAGGGCCATCAGAACGCACTCCGCCGCCAGACTCGGCGAGGCCCGACAGCTGAGGGGTGAAACAATTTTCGTGGGCCCGCAGGTCTTGCTCGGACTCGTATCCCAGCAGTGACTCACACGCTTCAGCAGATTCAGGGTGCCCAGCGGAGTCCTCGAGGGGCCTGCTACTCTGAAGATCGGGGCCGGATTCATCTCTCGCATCTCCCTGCTCAGGAGACTGGGACAAATCACCGAAGAACGTGTCATGCTGTCTTTCCCTGGCCTCTGCCCGCTGCGGCCTGCGCTCCGCCGCCTGCTCTCGTGCCTCGGCGGACTTAGATCCCGCCGCGGGCAATTGGCGAGGGCGAGCCTGCTGCGGCAGCCGACGAGGCAGGTCCAGGCATCTGGCCACGAGCTGCTCGGCGCTCCGCCTCGGCCTGATGACCAGGCCGATGTGCGGCTTCCAAGGGGCACGAACTTCGGGCGTGACACCCACGATGTACGAAACTGCCCTCTTTGAGCATATGATAAAATCGATGCGCGACTGATTTTTGGCACCCATTTTGCACGCTGTTTCGACGTCGGCGATCATGATGATGGGCCGTCCGCGAAACTTGCCCAGATATGCTGACTTCTTCATCGCTCCCGCCGTGACATGGAAGTCCCCGACCACGAACCAGGGCATCTTCAACGCGTTGAGCAGGGGTCTGAGCCACTGGAAGCGGCCGAGGTTGGGGCCACAGGAGCCGATGGACGGGGAGGCGTAAAAGACCATGGCAACTATCGGGTAGCCGCGGAACTGCAAAACTTTGGCCATGAAACAGTCGAGCTGACGATGACCTGGGGCCGCTAATGGACGAGCAGCCGCTGCACCCAACAGAGACTGCATCTGCGAATGCCCGCGCAAGAGAATCCACTCTCCGCACTCGTTGGACCGAGCCTGCTGAGATTTGGCTACATATCGTTCGCGTACAGTGCTGGATTACTAAATAAACATAACCTTGCACTCCTTGACTTCACATCCCCTTTGCGGATATCGCGCTCACTGACACGAGCCCCCACAATCCCGATGAAGCCGTGATTGCGAGGAGGAAGGAAGAAATAGAGGTGCCATGCTCTGCCCCTATCCCTGGGATGGGCGAGCAGAAAGCGAGGACGATCTTGGGGACGGGCCCTCAGAAGCCGAGGGAATCCTCGAGATCGGCATCGAGGTAAGACGATGCCGAACAGAGGGATAGGGATATGTCTCAAACTGGTACACCCTGCGAAATGCTCAAGAGATCATGGGTCAAGACACTCACAGTCTCAGAACCTGAGCAAAAAGCCCAAAGTTCTGTTCGAATCTTAGGATCTGCACTGAAACCTTAAGAACCATCGAGACTCTGGCAGAAAATTTAAGTTTTCTTAGCATTGCCGCGTTGTTTCTGAGTGCTCGTCGTTGGGGTCGTTGATAGCCCTCTTGAGGGGAAGCGGATTTCATTCCCAGGCGTTTCACAAAAGGAGGTGGCAGATACTGTGGGTTTGCTTGCCTCGGGGTTAAACAAAAAAAATTAAGTTTTCTTAAGCATCGCCTGAGGTGTAATCCTCCCCGCTCCGCAGCTGCCCCGAGCCTCGCCGCCCCCCGAGTCGACGGGCTGGCTCGCTCCGCCGCTGGCGCTCGAGAGGCCTCCGCTCCGCCGCGGGCGGCCGCCCCTGGCGATCCTCCTCCTCCTTCTCCTCCTCCTCCTCCTCCTCCTCCTCCTCTTCCTCCTCCCGCCTCCTCCTCCTCCTCCTCCTCCTCCTCCCGCCTCCCACCTCCTCCTCCTCCTCCTCCTCCTCCTCCTGCCTCACTGCCGCGGCGGGAGCTCGGGCCTCACTGCCGCCAGCCTCGCCCTCAACTTTCCAGCCTCGAACCTATCCCTGTCCCTACGATTGACACGCCAAAGGGCGATGACCATCTCATGGATCCGCCCTCGAAAAAAATAAGGGGATCCCTGAGATTGGCATCGTGGTGAGGAGGTGCCCGGCACAGGGATAGGGATCTGTTCCAGGCTGGTAAGCTCAGGCCTCACTGCTGCCAGCCTCGCCCTCAACGACCCTGCGCTTCTTGGCGATCCTGTTCTGCATTGCCGCGCGCGCCTCCGCGGCCTTGGACAGCGCGCTGTTCGCCTCGGGCTCCTTCGCGCTGGGGAGGGCCTGCATCGCCGTCAGGTCCGATTGCAGCTTGCGCATGCCGGTGCGCTCGGCCTCCTCACCCTCAAGGTCGTCCAGTTCCTCGAAAATGGTTCGGAGGTGGATAGACCTCCTACCCTGACACGTCGATTAAGGAATTGGCCGTTTTCGGTTCGCGAGAGGGCGTCGCGGCCGTTATTTTTGCGGGTCCAGGTCCGTCGGTTTCGGTCCCAGGCCGTTTTCACTAAGGAAAGGTTTACTAAAGGGAGGTTTGTCCACCGCCGAATGGTGGTGTCAATCTTCAGCTCGAACTTGGGCGCGGCCGCGCCTGGCCCATCCGCAGCCGCTGCCAGCGCAAGGCCCTCGGCCGCCGCCATGGCAGCCGTCGCGTGCGTCTTGGCGCGCGCTGCCTGGGCCAGGACTAGCCCCGCCGCTGCTGCCTTCTCCTGCGCTGTGTCGGGGGAGCGTAAGACCCGGGTTTGCCAGGACTCGGATTTCGACGAGTAGGAGTTTCGTGGGATGTCTGCAGCGGGAGGCCTCGTCAAAATGCAGGCTCGGCCTCGTCATTTTTTTGACGACCTCGTCGTGGATTTCCGAGTCCCCTGTACCCGGGTCTCACGCCCCCCTGACTGTGGTGAGCGCCTGCTGGAGCCTGACCACATTGCCCACCGCCTGGGAATGCTTGTGGTCCGCATCCTTCCAAGCACTGGCAGCACGTCGTAAAGCTTCGTCGGATGCATGCGAAGCGTCCGTCGAGTCTCCAGCTGAAGTTGGCGGAGACAGCTGGTCGACCCTGGTGGACTGGAGCGCCTTCTTCAGCTGCTGATCTTCCGTGTTATGGATCGCGAGCCGCAACAGCCAAAGGTCATCCCGTGGGGCAGCCTTGGAGGAGCTCTCACTGGACGTCCTTGCCCTTGCCACCCTTGATGCTGGATTGATCTAGCTCTTGCGTAAGAGGATGCCTATTCCAGGTGCAGTTCAGACATTGCGACAGTCGGAATGTTCTTCGACTTATGATGTTTGACTTGCGTCTTGCAGCTCGGGCACCCAAAAGCGTGGCATTCCACTCCGAACTCTCCGAACGGCCACAGCTGCAACGAGACCACAGATGCGACATGATGTGAAAAAAAGATCTCCAGTTTTAGTTGTTTTCGGGAGTAGCTGACTGGAGCTGTCGCAACAAAAATGCCCCAAGCACCTCGTGCGGGCACAGGAGACGGGTTCGCCACAATGGTTCGAGCCCGGGTTGCTTGAGTCGCAGCGGAGGAGGAGGACACAGACGAAGAAGGGGAGAAGGAGGAAGACGCCTCCTCCTCCTCCTCCTCCTGCTCTTCCTCTTCCTCCTCCTCCTCCTCCTCCTCTTCCTCCTCCTCTTCCTCCTCCTCCTCCTGACGAGAGGGCGGAGGAGGCCGCCGGGACGCCGCCGCCGCTTCTCGCCGGGCCCGCTTCGAGGTCGGGGCCGCCAGGGACGCCTTGGACTCGACGTGAGGCGGCGCGTTTGGACTCTGGCCGCCGTGCGGGAGGCAGGGGGCCCGTCGGGACGGCCTCCAGTCTGGTCCTTCCACGAGGGGTGGACGGTGTTGACGATGAGGATGAGGATGAGGATGAGGATGAGGATGAGGATGATGATGATGATGATGATGATGATGATGATGATGATGATGATGATGATAATGATGATGATGATGATGATGATGAGAGGATAAGGATGCTGATGATAATGATTAGGATGCCGATGTTGACGATGACGATGACGATGGTGGTGGTGATGATACTTATGGTGATGACGACGATGTTGACGATGCTGCTCACGATGATGAGGATGATGTTGATAATGATTTGAATGCCGATGTTGATGATGACGATGACGATGGTTGTGGTGATGATGCTTATGATGATGACGACCACTCTGACGCTAATGATGGTGATGATGATGATGATGAGGATGATGCTAATAATGATGATGCCGATGCTGATGATGACGATGGCGATGGTGGTGGTGATGATGCTTTGATATTGGCGACGACGATGCTGACGATGACGATGCTGATCATGATGATGACGATAATGCTGCTGATGATGATGTTGATGATGATGATGTTGATGCCGATTTGTTGTTTATTTCGATGGTGGTGATGATGCTTACTTTGACTGTACTGATAATGGCGATGATGCTGGTGATGGTGATTCTGGCGATGACGATGGTGCTGATGGTGATGATGATGATGCTGGTGATGAGGATGATGACGATGTCGATGACGAAGACGATGACACGCATGAGGATGATGATCTGCTGGTTGTGATGGTGATGGTGGTGGTGATGAAGCTCATGATTGTGACGATGATGATGGTGGTGGTGATGCTGCTGATGATGATGATGATGGCGACGATGATGATGGCGATGATGATAATGATGTCGATGATGATGCTGATGATGCTGATGCTGCTGGTGATAACGCTGATGGAGATGGTGATGGTGATGATGATGATGTCGATAGTGATGGTAATGATACTGGTGATGATGCTGATGATGGTTACTATGGTGCCCGAGATGGCTGAGGGCGATGGTGATGGTGTTGGTAATGATGATGATACTGATGCTGGTGGCGAAGCCAATGTGGACAATGCCGATGACGAGGACGATGGCAATCATTAGGATGATGATGTGCTGGTGGTGGTGATGGCGATACGTATGATAATGATGATGCTGATGACGATGATGATGATGGTGGTGGTGATGATACGTATGATGATAGCGACGATGATGATTATGTCCATGCGGATGGTGGTGGTGATGATGTTTATGATGATGACGACGATGCTGACGATGATGATGATGGTGTTGACGTTGATGATGACGATTACGATGGCTGTGGTGATGACGCATAGGATGATGACGGCGATGCTGACGATGATGACGATGATGCCGATGATGTTGATGACGCTGATGATGGTGGTGCCGATGGTGTTCATGATGACGACGACGATGCTGTCGATGATGATGATGGTGATGACGACGGTGGTGCTGCTGTTGGTGATGATGGCGATGATGATGATGATGACGATTGGGTTGGTGATGTTGATGGTGATGGTGATTAGGATGACTGTAGTGATGACGACGATGATGCTGGTGATGATGATTATGCTGACGATGATGATGATGCTGCTGGTGATGACGATGATGAGAATGCTGACGATGTTGATGATGCCGATGTCGATGACGACGACGATGACACTTATGAGGATGATGATCTGCTAATTGTGATGTTGTGATGGTGACGGTGGTGGTGGTGATGAAGCTGTCGATGCTGATGATGGTGACGATGATGATGGTGGTTGCTGCGGATGGTGATGATGCTGATGATGATGATGATGATGATGACGGCGACGAGGATGATGATGACGATGCTGATCATGATGATGGTGGTAATGATGATTATGCTGCTTCTGGTGATGATGCTGATGGTGATGATGCTGATGATGATGAGGATGGTGATGATGGTGGCGATTGTGATGGTGATGATGCTGACGATGATGATTATGCCGATTAGGTTGCCCGTGATGGTGTTGAATTTGATGATGATGATGATGATGATGATGATGATGATGATGATGATGATGATGGTGACGGTAATGACGTTGATACTGATGTGGATGTTGATCCCGATCGTGACGATGACGATGACGAGGGCGATGACACTCATGAGGATGATGATATGCTGGCAATGCGGATGATGGTGATGGTGTTGATGTTGCCGATGCTGATGATGGTGGCAACGATGATGGTGGTGGTGATATGGCTGATGATGGTGAAGCTGTTGCTGGTGATGATGCTGATGAAGGTGATGATGCTGACGATGCTGATGACGATAATGATGCCGACGGTGGCGATGACGAGGAAGATGACGCAGATGATATGCTGGTGATGATACTGCAGATGGTAATGCTGAGGCCTGGTGATGACGACGACGATGATGACGATGACGATGCTGTGATGATGACAGCGATACTGCGGATGGAGATGGTCCTGATGATGATGATATGGATGCCGATTGTGATGGTGATGTTCATTGTGATGATGACGCTTAAATTGGTTAGGGTGGTTGTGCTGATGATTGCGATGGTGGTGATAGTGCCAATGCGGATAATGATGCTGATTGCGGTGACGATGGTGATGATGACGGTGATGATGATGACGGTGACGAGGACGATGCCGATGATCAGGATGTTGGTATGATGGTGATGATGGTGGTGGTGAATATCATGCTAATACTGGTGACGTTGATGATGATGATGGTGGTGGTGGTAGTGATTATGCTGGTAATGATTGCGGTGACAATGACGATGCTGATGATGATGGTGATGGTGATGATGCTGATGCAGGTGATGATGCTGATGACGATGATGGTGATGATGGTGACGTCGACTATGATCGCGATGTTGATGGTGAGTATGGTGGCGAGTATGCCGATTGTGATGCTGATGGTGGCGATGATGATGGTGATGGTGATGATGTTGGTAATGGTGCTGGTGGTGATGGCGATGTTGATGATGACGATCACGATGATCAGGATGACGAGGACAATGACGATGATGATGATGATTTGCCGACCATGATGATGGAGATGATGATGGTGGAGCCGAAACTGATAATCCTGACGATGATGCTGGCGGTGATGATGTTGGTGATGATGGCGAAGACGATGATGACGACGATTTTGATGATGATGATGGTGATGATGATGACTCTGATGATGATGTCGGTTGTGACGGTGATGTTGATCGGCATGATGGTGTCTATGTTGACTGGAACGGTGATGATGACGATGATGGTGGTGATGGTGATGATGCTGATGGTGTTGACGATTATGATGATGACGATGGGGCTGATGACGGTGACGGTGACGAGAACGATTGTTGATGATGATGATGATGGTGGTGGTGATGGTGATGATGGTGGGGGTGATGATGCTGCTGGTGATGGTGACGACGATAATGATGACGACGATGATGATGGTGAAGCTGATGATGCTGATGATGCCGATTGTGATGACGATGTTGATGGTGATGATAATGACGATTCTGGTGACTTCGGTGATGACGATTATGATGGTGATGGTGATGATTTTGGGGATGGGTTTGATGGTGACGACGATGATGGCGATGAGGATGAGGATGATGACTGTGACGATGACACGGACGATGACGGTGATAAGGATGATGTTATGTTGTTGATGATGGTTATGATGATGATGATGATCATGGTGATTATGCTGATGAATATCATGGTGATGTTGGTGATGATGGTGATGAAGGTGATGATGATGCTGATGATGGTGACGATGATGATGATGATGATGATGATGATGATGATGATGATGATGATGATGATGATGATGTCGAGGATGGGGATGGTGTTGGTGATAATGATGATGACGATGCTGATGATGATGATGATGATGATGATGATGATTTCTAGACGCTTCGCGAATCCCCCCCAGCCCATCTTGAAACGAAGTCCAGGCGAATTGAGGTGATCAGGGAAGTGCGGGAGCAAAGTGGGGGACAGCCAAACCGTGCGAAGGAGGGAGGAGGAGAAGGAGGAGGCTGGATGGATGGATGAGGGAGTGGGGAGAAGGAATATAATAGGATGAGGAGGAGGAGGAGGAGGAGGAGGAGGAGGAGGAGGACAAGGACGAGAAGGAGTAGGACGAGGAAGGACGAGCAGCAGTAGGAGGCCAATCAAAAGGGCCAGAGGTATCTTGGATGCCTCTGGGAGCCTCTTGGGATATCCCTTGGGCGCTTCTTGGAGGCCTCTTGAGACGTCTTGGGGGTCTTTTGGCGGTCCCGGTGGGCTCTTGAGTGTCTTGGGTGCCTCGGGGGGCCCTCTTGGGGGCCTCTTGGGAGCCTCTTGGAGGCCTCTTGGGCGCCTCTTGGGGCAGTCAGGGCGCCTCTTGGGGCCCTCTTGGGAGCCTTGGACACGCTCTTGGGGTCATCTTGAAGGACATCGATCAAAGAAGGGGGGGTCCTCAATTAGCGTTGTCCCTCGGGAGCCCCACAAGTCGCCTCTTGGGGCGCTCCTGGAGCGCTCTTGGGCGCTTTTGGGGCCGTCTTGAGGCTCTCTTGGGCCCCTCTTGGGCCATCTTGGAGCCATCCTGAAGCTTCGAATGGCCATCGGAAGCGAAAAGGCGAGAAGGCACACATCATTGGTTTCCCGTGGGTTTTGGACAGATTTTGGTCTCTTGGAGGCCTCCTTGGATGTCTCGGATGCCTCTTGGAGCCGTCTTGAAATTTTATTGGACCCTCTTGGTGCATCTTGGAAGCCATTTTGAGGCATGTCGGGCTATCTTGAGCCATCTTGGAGGTCATCTTCGGCTCTCAGAGGCCCTCATGGAGCCGTCTTCGGCCTTCTTGGACGCTCTGACCGCTCGCGACCACACCCGTCCAGGTCCAGGGGTGGGGGTGGGGGGATTGGAAATGATTGTAGTACCAGGTAACAGATTTTTTTGAACGGTTTTCAAATTGTGCTGTTTG